GTGGTAGAGGCTGCAGCTAATAAACCTTGTTGGATTGAATCTGCATGGTCTCCTAGAGTTCCCTGGACTAAACCTGACATTCACAGAGTTGTTGTTGTGAGGAACACAGAGGCAGGAATATTAGGTTTATAACTCCACTGCCTTGAGTTATATATAAAAATGGTGGGAAATAACAACAATAATAATATAGACTGCTGCTATTTTCCTAAGAAAAAACAGTAGCAAATTCAACAAAGAGAATGCTCACTTCCCAGACAGACATTGAGATTTACTAAAATGATTCCCCCTTTTTAAAACATGTAAGGGATGCTGATTCTAATACAAGCTTCAATTATTGGAGCTATAACAATATTTTAAAAAAAAAATCCCACCAAGAGAATTTCAAATATCATTGCTGACAAGAATGGCTTTTATCAGTTGGGGGTTCCAGGCCAGGTGAGGAATTTGGTTGGGAGAGTGAAGGAGGTTTTACTCTTTGCTGTGCTGTCCTCTGTACTGGGGTCCTAAAGCTGACACTGCTCTTGGAAACAGGACTCTGTTGGAAAAAGAGAAACTGCCCCACACACACACACAAATACTTGGGGTCCAAATGTAGATGGCAATTTTACCAGGAAAGAAAGAATCTGTGTCTCCCCCTTGATAAAGTTCTCATTTAGACTTCTACCTGCAATTTTTCTTAAGGTCATATAATTATCAAGTGCCTAAATTTCACCTGATCTTGTTTGGTTTTTAACCAAACAGCAATGTTCACATCAAATCAAACAAATCATTTATTACATCCATAAAGCCAGAGAAAATGAAATTGTGTGTTATTGAACAGTGGGATGTCTGCTCTGTTCAGGCTGGTTAACTGCAGAGCTGACTCTTTTGGAAACTAAGTCTTTTTTTTGGCTGAAAATTTAAATAATAGATGTAACTGTGACTTTTAAATGAAGGCAGATAATATCCTTAAATGAATTTGGAATATAGGTTTAATATTGTCCTTTTTAAAGGATGGAAAGCCAGGTATAACTACTAGATTTTCTTTCAAATTTATATGTTAATTCTAACAGGCCTGATTGAATTTCAAATTCTCAAGGTTCCTATTTTTTTACATTTTAAAGGTAGTTTAATAAGCAGGAAAAATATTTCTACAAGAATGCAAACACAAATCATTCATGGACAGGTCTGAATTGAGCCCAACATCTTGGGGTAAGTATATCTTTGAACTCAAAATTCTTCAATACCTCCAAGTTCATTATTCGAGATAAAATTCCAATTAGTTTTGTAATATATATTTAAAATTAGTCCTGCAACCCAGCATTGTACAACATGAGCATTCAGAGAAAAAAAAATTAGGAGTGAAATTTTTAAAATACATGATGTCCAGTACTCTACCACTGTAAGTTTCAACAGCAGGATCTGGGTCTGGAAGAAGATGATATGTCTCTGTGTACAAAAATGTGTTGATCATGTTATTGACAACATACAGATTTAATGCATTTGCCTTAAAATGTAATAATTAATTTAATTTCACCACTTTAAAAAGATGTGGAAATAAAATGATCATTCATTTCAACTCGCTAAATGATTTTTGGGCATTCAATTCAATTTGAAAATTTAAGTATCAACCTACGTTGCAGTGAGGAGAAGACACAAATGAATTTTTAGTAAAAATTATTTGGAAGAATAACAAAAGTAAAAAGTGGTACTGCCTATGTATAATTAAGATATAACTTAGGTGCCCTTACTGTTCTCCTTGTATTTCATAATACAGTGGAACCTCGGGTTACGAATTTAATTCGTTCCGTGACTCTGGTCGCACCCCGAATTGGTCGCAACCTGAAGGAAATTTCCCCATAAGGTT